GAAATACTCATTTGAATGAATGATGTGTCTTATGAAGCAACTTATAGTTTAGCAAGATTCAGTTGAGTTGCGGATGTTGATTTAGACATAACATTTCCCTTTTTTTAAACGAATAAATGATTGATCGGCTTTTTTCTTTAAATGATGGTGGGAATCAATAGAATTTTCAAAGTCAATCGGATTTTTGTCTTATCTTTAGTGTTAAGGTTGATTTCATTAGCTGTAACAGTGAAGTTGTTATACGCGATTCAGATAAAGGACTCTTAGTCTCTCATTGTTTCAACTTCTTATAACTAGCACACAAGCCTTACAGACAACGTTAAGTTCACACATAACTTCAGGCATAGTGAGTCCCACGTATCGTAAATTTTTATCACGTTTGACAAACTTTATACTCTATATGCCGGACAGCAACGGCAGCGTCGTTATTTTTCTAACGCTTTTATGATATCTAACTTAATGCTAGTCTTGTTAAGTATACCCAAGTCGCATGCGGGCCTAATTACTTTGCAATTCAACGGGCTTAAGCCGTCTTGTTGGTGAGGCACCAGTACCAGTATAATGTTTTAGAATATTTAGAAATCTCGAGCAACATCGCAATAAAATATAAGCACCTTGGTGACTTAAGTATACAATCTCTGTGGTACTTTTTTCATGAATATTTGTATGCTAAAGAACAGAAAGGCACTCTTCCTTTATTTGGCGATCAGTCTCAGTTTTAGCGCCATAGAGTGTTGAAATCTGAAACGAGCGTTCGAATTTGTTTCGTTCTGTAACATAGCAGGAATCCTTGTCTTCGCGACAGGGGAAGATAAAGAAAAATATTCAACAGGTACTTGAACAATTTATATGATTGATTCTGCGGCATCTGCATGATGTTTCCTTAACGACCGGTCACGATTTATCGCCTGAGGGGAAATGGAAAATCTTTTTTGGGGAGGGGGGGGGGGGGGGGGGGGGGGGGTCACACGCTTTTCAGGAGGAAAAAGGGAGAGTTAGTCGTTGCTAAAAAAGTATAAAGTGGGGAAAACAGAAAACTGACTGCCAATGAATGGGCGATCATTACAATACTACAGGGCCTTAGGGAAAATCGGGTAAATTTATTGTAACATGACCAAAATACACAATTTCGATACAGCGTATCCCTAAGATCTTAAGCCGAAAGTTGTCGATTTTACTTTGGGAAAGGTCCAGTTCAGTCGATCACAGTGGCGTGTCAGCCATTTTGTTGGACGAAGAAGTGTTTTGTTTACGTTCTCTCCTTATACTAATTCCGAATAGCTTAAAAACACGTTTCCGCATTTCGCTGTGTCTGACGATAAAAACCAGCGGATTCACTGCGCTGTTTGAATAATGCATCCATTTTACGAATATCACTAACGCAGTCATACCGTCCCCTTTAGGCAAACAGCCTGCACAGAACTCAGCCAGCATTGAAAGAACAAAGAAAGGCGTCCAGGCCATGAGGAACAAACCTGTTAAAATGCTGACGGTCAAGGCAACTTTTCGCTCTTCACGGACTTTGCACGCAACGGCTTTTGCCGTGTCCAAGCTTGGGGTTCTACGAACCAGCGAACTTGCAGTTCGGAAGATCTTTGTGTACATTGTCAGTATCAAAATAGTTGGTAACACGAAGCCGACAGTGAAAACGAAGACTGTATATGCTCTTTTAAGCGTCATCGATCTTTGCATTTGCGAGAGTGCCGCCATGATCACTGCTACAAGCCATGCTGTTGATATCGAGGTTTTGTACACACGAGTCGTTAACGTGCCGTAGGTAAATGGCCTCGAAATCACATAGCAACGTTCGATAGCAATCGCCGTAAAATGAAAGATAGAGGCCAAGGCACTAAA